GTATCGGCCGCTTCTCGCTGCTGGAAGGAAAACATCACAAATTGAAGCGTGCGGCGAGAAGCTCCTACGCGGCGGAGGTGATATGTGTGGGTGATGTAGTGGACGTAGCCCAAAGAGAGCGAGACCAACTCGTAGAGATGTTGTACGGCCCCGTGGCAAGGGGCGCTGGCATGGAACTATCGGGTTGGCAAATCCCGTTGACGATGGTGACGGACACGAAAGACGGCTATGACAGGCTCAACTCGGACGCGGGTGTGGGCAGCTCAGCGCAGAAGTCTTGGAATCTGGACTTGGCGAGCATCCGCGAGATCTTGGACAGACCGCAGACGACAATCAGATGGACGGACGGAACCGACTGGCTCACACGCTGCGATTTCACGATCGCAGATGGCCGCTGCGATTCATGTATTTCTGGGAACTGTTTTCGTTTGCTCAAGTTGCGGTGGGGACAAATCTACAAAGATGAAAGATCCGTGTCGTAAGAATGCGGATTCGTATGGATTATCTCCCCTGCCCCGTCTTCATCCCCCATATGTTTGCTTTCCTGGCCCTCTCTCCCCTTCTCTGTCCCTCTCTCGCCTGCTGCTGCGGGCTGGCCCGAGCCGTTTTGAGACTTTTTTCTCCGCAGCAAACACCCACCAGTCTCCGCCCCATACCGAGCCCGTTTGAAAATATCAGGCCACTGGAGCAATTGTCCGGGACGAAAAGGGTCCCACTTCCATCCCTGCCGGGATCCGCCGCCGTCCCTGGTGCCACTGCGGGCAGGGAGGTGGGCCGCTGAAGGCAACCCAGTTCCGCACTCCTCTTCCTCCTCCTCTTCTCATACAACGGTTGGGGGGGCACATTATCCAAAAACTTGGCCAGACGATGGCTCAACGATTGGCCGCATGTACGTATACGAAAGGCAATGGAAAGAAGTGGTTCGCCGTAGGCGTCTTCGATTGCGTGCCATGCCGTGACCGTCCCTGCAACGCTACACCAGGCTAAGATGCGCAGCCGTAAGCTGATTGTGTATGGCTGCCGTGCACTAACATGCAGTTGATCAGGATGGACTGCAATGCGCTGAGACACTGTGCAACGCATGCTACGCTATCCTAAACAATGCCATGCTACGGTGTTCAACGACTCACCAATCGCGTACCTGGCATATTGGATGCTATTTATCCGCCGGCCACCTTGCGGGGCCATCAGGCTGCGAGGATTAAGGTTGCTGCTCCCTGCACCAATTCGTTCCAGCTTCCAGTTTCAATTGTTACAATACTGCTTTCTGCTTCCTACTGAAAATTGTTACTGTCCGCGCGAGGGGGGGGAGCCGAACAGGGCCCTGGTTAGCGTCCCCCGGGAGGGTTCTCAGAATTCCTGGGGGGGGCGTGGGACACGTAAAAATACTATGGATTCGTGCCCCCGAGGCTGAAATTCTTTGTAAATTACACAAAAAGGTCGCGCCCCCGAGGCCAGAATCCTTCGTAAATTACGCCGCACTCGCGCCCCCGAGGCCACGATCCCATATAAATTACGCCACATGGGCGCCCCCGACGCCAGAAGCTCTCGCAAATTACACAACATTCGCGTTCCCGAAGCGACGAACCCTTGTAAATTGCGCAGCGGGCGCGCCCCCGAGGCCACGAATCCGCTCCGTGGAAGCTGCCGAAAAGGCGCCCCTCTTCTCCAGAGCAGAAACGCAACAATTTTCTGTATTGGGATATGTGCTCCGCTGGTAGTGTTTTCCCCCAGGGCAGTTTCTTGAAATTCCGACGGTGGGCTCCACACTCGCGCCCCCCAGGCCACGATCCCTTGTAAATCACACCACGCTCGCGCCCCCGAGGCCACGATCCCTTGTAAATGACACAAAACTCGCGCCCGATCCCTAGTAAATTACTCCACATGAGCGCCCCCGACGCCACGATCCCTTGTAAATTACGCCGCAGTCGCGCCCCCGAGGCCACGCGATCCCTAGTGAATTACACCAAATTCGCGCCCCCCAGGCCACGATCCCATGTAAATTACGCCACATTCGCGCCCTCGATGCCACGATCCCTTGTAAATTACGCTGGATGCGCACCCCCAAGCTTCGAGTCCACCTCGCGGAGGCTGCCCAAAGGCGACACTCCTTCTCCTGAGCAGAAAAACTGCAATGTCCCCAAATACTGCCTGAAACAATCAATCCCCAGCCGTTCCCAAAACGCTTCCAATGAACAGCTGGAGGAAAATGCTCTAAGAAGAGAACACATCGTTCAACAATGATTTCAAAATCTCGATATGTTTTGCTCATCGCCAACCGCCCTAGCATGACGCTCCTCAATGTCATCAAGACGGTGCCCAGACATCCCAATAGAGTTCTGATGTATCCCATTCTGATAGAGAGGGGGCCGGCGGCAGGGGGCGAAGCCCTTACGAATAATTTATGGTCGCGCTTTACTTGGAGCGCGTTTCTTTATGTTCGGCGATGACAGGCGTCATGGGGGGGGGGGCGGGGGGGGGGGGCATGACGTGACCCACTCCCCCCGCCGTGTGGCTCCGGCACCGCAGCCGCGCCCGCGCGCACGACGCGACGAGCGACGAGCGACGAGCGACGACGACGACGCGAGCAGCATGTAAGGTGGCGATCTGCCCATTGCGCCTGTGTGCACCACAACGTTCGCGTGCACCACGCCGCGCATGTGCACCACAACGCGTGCGTACACCGCAACAGCCGTGTGCAACGCACCGCCCGCGCATACCACAATACTTGGGAGCACTACAGCGCTGGATACGCTGCAACAGCCATGTGCAACACAACGCCTGTGTGCACCACTGTGCTTGCTTGCGCCGCAGCGCCTGTGCACGCCACAGCGCCTATACACCACAGCATCCGCGTGCAACGCAGCGCTGGTGCACACCACAATGCCTGCGTGCATAGGACAAATAGAAGGAGCATGTGCGCCAGGATCTGCTGCGGACAACTAAACGTCACGCCTGGAAAATTCTGATAATCGGATGGGACGTTTTCCCTCATCCCTCCTCCTCCACCTCCACCTCCTCCTCCTCCTCCTCCTCCTCCTCCTCCTCGTCCTCCTTTTCCTCCTCCTCCTCCTCCTTCCTCCTCCTCCTCCTTTTCCTCCTTCTTGCCCCCTGTCGCGCGGTTTGGCGTTGCAACGCACGTGCGCATCTCAGCGTGCACCGCAGAATGGTCGATTGAATCGATCCACTTGGTTCTCGGACGGCCAGTTTAACAGGAGCCTCCTGGACGCAACTGGAAATTAGGGTGATGCGGGCGGACCCGGGAGGACTCTTAGATTCCAGCGGCGCGCCTTCGTCCATGAGGAGTTGTTTTCTATGGTTTTCTCTGGAATCCACACGCGCTCCATTTTGTCACAAGGATTCCTTCTGAAATTCTATACACAACAATGGTGCTGTGTTGCACACGGCTGATGTGGTGCACACACGCGCCGTGGCGTACACAGGCACTGCAATGCACGCAGCATTGTGGTGTACACTGGTGCTGTGTTGCGCACGGCTGATGTGGTGTACGGAAGCGCTGTGGTGTACACAAGAGCTGCTGTGCCCGCAGGCACGGTGGCACAAACTGACGTTGTGTTGCACGCGGTTGCTGTGGTGTACATCGGCGGCGTGGTGTACACAGGCGCTGTGGTGCACGCGGGCAGCGTGATGTACACAGGCGTGGTTGTGCATATCGCCACCTACATGTTCGTGCTACCCGTCCTCCGTCATTCCTAAGCATTCCCAGACGCCGCCGGCGCGAAGCGTGACGACATCGACCCCCTCCCCCCCCAGATGATTGCCGTCATCGGCCCGGACTTAAAAACAGGCTCCAGCCGCGTCCGCGCGCACGACGACGATGAGCGGAAAGCGACAAACCACGAGCGACGACAACGGACGACGACGGACGACGACGACGACGACGACGACGCCTGCGGACCAGACACCTATGCGGATTCCTACGCGGACACCCACGCGGATCCCAATGCGCACGGCGGCAGTGCCCGGAGCGCACTGGGGGGGGGGAGCGTTACGTCATAGGGGGGGGGGGGAGGCGGGGGCCATGACGCCCGTCATGCCCCAAGCAATAAAGAAACGGGCTCTTGCGTCAACAAGGAAACAACTTTTGTAACCACTGACACAAATTTGCTCGAGCGACTCGTTATGGCACCTCGATGTGCGACACAACCCAGAATTCATCAATAACGCGCGCATGAGCATGCAAACAAAATGCGCTGCGCGGAGAAGGCGTGAATACCTGTCCATGAAGCGGAAGAGTCGTGGGCGCAAGGCTGGCTCTCGCTCCATGCGCGAATGAGCACACACGCACATACCCCACACTCACACAAACACACACACACACCGACGATCTGATGTGTAACAAAGCGAATCAAGGTGAAGGGTTGGAACAATACAGTAGCCAAGCATCCAAGCATCTGCAAACGAGGACGTCGCGAATGGGGAAGATGCCAGATCCAGGTAGGCTAACCATGAGTTACTGCGTCGAAGCGCAGCAGCACATCAGAGATCGCGAATAGAAACGAGCAGCCCTGGAATCGGGCATGAGGAAGATTGGCACGAGGATGAGTGTCTGACGCACAGCTGCACGAGCAGTGCCCGCATGAAGTATTGCCACCGTCTGCGGGGCCCCGCGCAGCATACTGCAGCAGACGGGCCTTCAGGGTCAGAAGGGCTCAAAGGCAGGCAGGGCGGCACACGACAGGACTGGCCAGGGCAGGCACAGGGGGACGCGGGCGAAGACAGGGCAGGGGAATCACAAGCACGGAGGCCGTGGCAAAGTTTGTCAACAACTGCGCACACCACTGCCCTATCTGGCACACACCAGGGGAAACACTAACGTCCGACGAAGCAACGACCAATTGACTGAAAGGCGCCGACAATCCTTCACCCACGACCCTCGATATTTACGGCATGGGCATGTAGTCGTATCAGCACGGCCCGTGTAAATCTCTACCTCCTGTATCCTGAAAACCTCCCCAGCTACACAACTGTTCCGCGGCCTGAAAAGTGACCTGCGGGAACTTCGCTGGAACCTCCCGCACTGTCCAATTCTCTTGGGGACCGCTGGCAAGGGGGTGGAGGAAACGATTCTCACAGCAGAGACAACCTCGCCGAATAAAGGTGGGAAGAGCAGACTGCAAGTACACAAATATGCTCCATCGCCTGTTTCCATCCGATGCCAAGCAACCAACCCACGATGCGCCTTCCACCCTCTGTTGCCTGTCAAGGCGGAAACCTGGCCCACGCTTTGCGTAACCTGTGCAGGCGGCCGTATGGTCAATGCGATGTTGATGTCTCGTGTGACTTGCTCTGGCTTGGTAGCGAGGGCCAGTTCGTGCAGTTCCGCGGCCTGTGCGGACACAGAGTCGCCAAACACAGGTGGAAGCACGCCCGCCGAGTTTGCACAGGCGGGCGGGCACGAAGTCGAACTCGGGAGGGGCAGGGGGCAGACGAGGCGGGGGTAATGGGGGAGAGGGGCGATCCTCCCTGGAGTTCCACAGGAGGGTCCCAAGAAGCTTTGATTCGAACTCTTGGGAGGGCACCCTTGTCGGGGACATCCCCTGTTTGGCCTCGAATTGTTTTTTCCAATGGGGCAAGGGGCGAGAAGTGGAAGATCAGCTCGGCTCCGCTGAGCCAGGCGAACTCCACGCTCCTTCTCGACGACCTTCTCGGGTCGATCCCTGCTCCGGCTTGGCTAAGTGTCCCCCCCCTTCACTCCCTTCCTCACGACAACCTGCCCAGGGATCGCTTCTGGATGAGCTGGGGGGAGTGCGCCAAAGCGAAAAGCTCCTCTATGTCCCCATGGCGACCGCCAGGCCGCAGGTTGGCCAGTGAGCCAGACGCTGAGAGGGGCACCCTGGCTTCGCTAGGGTTGCAGGGGTTAAGATGCTCACTCGACGCGGAGGTCCCCGTATAAGCATAGCATGTTCTGGCGCGTTCCGTTGTGAATGTCTGGCTCTGAATGTCCGGGTGTGAGCGGGAATCCGAGTGGACGACGGATACGGCGAGGACGGCGACTACGATGAGGGACAACGGCGACGACAACTCACAGACAGACAGGCGGTGCGCAGGCCCCCTCTCATACCATTGCATTTCTTCCTCGTCGTAGCAGCTCCCCTTCTCTTCCTCCCTCCCAGATTTCTCGCATCCTGCCTCCTCCAACTTCCTGTTTCGTCCTTCTCCTCCCTGGCGGTCGTCCTTTTCTTTTCTCTAGCGTAATCTTCCTTCTTCCTCCTCGTCATCACTCCTATTTACGAATCCTCACTCATCCTTTTCTCTACGGCAAGCGTCCTCCTCCCTGGCGGCCTTCTCCCCTGGTCTTCCTGGTCCTCATCGTCTTAGCCCATCCCTTCCTCATCCTCCTTCCTCCCTTCTCCTTCCTCTCTCGTTTTCCCCTTCTTCCACCTCCTCCTCCTTCTTCTCCGTCTCCTCCTCCTCCTCCTCCTCCTCTCTGACGGCATTCCTCCTTTCTCCTTATAGTCGCGGTTGTCATAGGGCTCTGAACGGACAGGAGTCGAAGTGCAAAACGAATGCCTCCCTCGAGACATGCCCACCATCTGGCCGCGAACAGGCGAGCGCAACCATCCCTGGTGGCTCTGAAAGCAGAGGAGTCTCGGCCACAAACCGACCAAACCGCTGCAGACACCACCGCAATCTGGGCCCCTCGGGGTGCTGAAGCCAGCACCTCGTTCGAGACACCCTCACAACCTGCAATCAAGCAGACCGCTTGAGACATCCCAGCAATCTGGCCGCGACCGGGCCGCCGGCGGTTCCCGCTCCGCTCGAGACATCATCACATTCTGCTGTGCACGCAAAGGAGCCTCGGCCACCAGACAAGCAAATCGCTGGAGACATCAATGCAAACTGGGCTCCTTGGGGTGCTGAAGACAGCGCCACGCTCGAGACATCTCTGCTCCGAAAGCCAGAGAGTCCAAACCACCAAAGAAGCACACCGCCTGAGACATCCGCACGCTGAAACCACTGGCCTCGCCGTTGGTGCGGACACTCCCCCCGTGGGGCGCCTAAACGCCACGCCTGCCAGATCGCGGTGAGTAGTCTGGTCTGGAAGCAGAGGATGTTGGGCATCCAAACACGCAAACCACCTGAGACATCCTCACACATTGGGCGTGCATCCTGGAGTGTCCTCTCCCACGGCGCACCCCCTTGGGGCGCCCAAGTGCCACACCTGCTATATCGCGGTCAGCAGTTCCCCAAGCGAGTCTAATATAAATGAATATGAACACTACTGAATCTGATTGCGAGAAAGTCTGAGTGAGCGAGTTTGAGTACGAGTAAGACTAAGTATGAGTGGATCTGGGTACGACCGGGTCCAAGTGTGAGCCTGAGTCACAGTATGAGTCAGGGAACCTAAGAGAGTCTGAGTGAGTCTGAGTGTGAGTATGAGAGAGTCCGAGTATGAGTGAGTCTGAAAAAGAGTGAATCTGAGTGTGACTGAGTTCGTGAGTGCACGAGGTAAGCGGGTGTGAGGTGAGGCAGGGGTCCGAACACTCATCTTAGGATATGAGGACCAAGGACGGGCTCGGAATATGAGTGTGAGTGATTCTGAAAATGAGCGAGTCTGAGTGAGGAAGTGATGTGACTGAGTCTGAGTGAGGAAGGGTGCGTCTGAGCATGGGGAAGACGAGTATGAGCGATGCCGAGTATGAGTGAGTCTGAGTGTGATGTGAGTGAGAAGGGAGGAGGAGGACGAGGAGTGATGCGAGTGAGACTTGTGTGTGAGTGGGTGATCTGCATATGAGAGCGTCAACGGAGGGTCAGAGTATGTGAGTGATCTGAGTGAGGAGGGGGAGGAGGAGGGAGGTGACGAGGAGAAGACGAGTATGTGAGTGATCTCGGTGTGAAGCGGAAGAGAAGGAGGAAGGATGACGTCGGGAGGCGTCCAACTAACTAACAATGACAACCCCATCACAAAATATCGGGAGTGAGAAAAAGCAAGGGACACGATAACGGGAAGAGCGGGGGACGAAAGACGAGACGGAGGAGAGGAGGGGGATGAGGAAGCGGAGGTAGAAGGACGAGCAGAGCGAGTATGGGATGAGGGGGTGAAGGAGGGGGGAAGAGAAGGCGCAGGAGGAGAGCACCAGAAATAGGGAAAGCGGCGAGAGGAAAGGAGGGGCGCGAGGGAGGGATTCACAGGTGGCGGTGCAGAACGCGCGGCCATGGGCGGAGGCGGGAAAACGAGACCGCGACCCATGCTGACCCCCCCCCGAGCCTGTCTGGGTCCGGCCTTCGACGTGCCCCCTTCGAACCCAGGCACTGCGGCGAGGCCTGGCGGAGCCGCGCTGCCACATTCCCTCTTACGAACTGTCTGGACAATGTCTTGGATGACGCGTTCTGCATTGTGGTGGCGTCTTCGCTCATTAAGCCACAATGCCACGCTGTGTTTGAGTTGTCTGCAAATCTCCTCCTCCCTCATGTTCACGCACTTTCTCATCTTCCTCCTCTTCCTCTTGCTCCTGCTCCTGCTCCTGCTCCCCCTCCTCCAACTCCTCCTCCTCCTCCTCCTCCTTCTCCTCCTCCACCTCCTGCTCCTCCTCCTTTTGCGTTGCTCAGACGTGAAGCATGTGCTTGTGACGTCTTTCCTCCTCCTCCTCCTCCTCCTCTTCCTCCCTCGTTCTCTGTTTGTCTCCTCACCGATTAGCGGTTAACCTGCTGCCCCTCGCTTACCAGCAATCTTCCAGCGTGCCTTCACCGAATCCCACCAGCCCTTTGGGCGTGAGTGGTTTAGAGAGCCCGCTCTGTTCTCAACCCTCCTTCTTCCCCTTCGGGGAGGGGTTTACCCCTCCCCCTACCCCCTCCCCCTGGGCCTGGAGAAGGCGTTCCGCGGGTCGTTGGAGGGGTCTTTTTCGACTCCTCGGAGGGCTAAAAAAACGACACCCCTCACGAGGATTCTGGCCCCGACGGGGGGGGAGAAACCAAAAAAAATCCATCTTTGATCGATCGCCCGAAAGTAGGCCCCAAGATACCTCCCAGACTCCTCCCAAAGAGCCCCAAGAGGCCCCAAGAGGCCTCCAAGAGGCCCCCAAGATGCCCCCAAGAGGCCCCCAAGAGGCCCCAAGAGGCTCCCCCGAGGCACCCAAGACGCTCCTGGAAGCCCCTGGGGCCGCCAAGAGGCCCCCAAGACGCCCCAAACGGCCTCCAAGAGGCTCCCAAGAGGCCCGAAGAGGCTCCCCCAAGGCACCCAAGACGCTCCTAGAAGCCCCTGGGGCCGCCAAGAGGCCCCCAAGACGCCCCAAAAGGCCTCCAAGAGGCTCCCAAAAGACACCACGAGGAGCCCGAACGACTCACACCAGGACGAGGGGCCCGAACGACTCACACCACGAAGAGCCCGAACGACTCACACCAGAAGGAGGGGCCCGAACGACTCACACCAGGACGAGGCGCCCGAACGACTCACACCACGAGGAGCCCGAACGACTCACACCACGACGAGGGCCCCGAACGACTCACACCACGAGGAGCCCGAACGAGTCACACCAGGAGGAGGGGCCCGAACGACTCACACCAGGACGAGGGGCCCGAACAACTCACACCACGAGAAGCCCGAACGACTCACACCAGGACGAAGAGCCCGAACGACTCACACCACGAAGAGCCCGAACGACTCACACCAGGAAGAAGGGCCCGAACGACTCACACCAGGACGAGAAACCCCAAAGGACTCAAACAACGAGGAGCGCTTTCTCTCCCTCCTCCTCCGCCTCGTCCTTCTCCCGCTCCCACCACAAGGAGGATGTACACGGAGGCGGGAGGAAGGAGGAGCAGGGGAGATATGCGGGGGCAGGCGGAAACACGCCTGAAAAACACGACTGTCGGCATGCTTCGCAAGAGTTGCTGTTTTGAGATGGGCTGGTGGGGATACGCGAAGCGTGACGAATTCATGGGTCGTTGGGGGGGACGATCAATGGCTTCTCCTCCTCGTCCCCCTCCTCCTCCTTTCCCATCACCAGCCCCAGAGGAGCAGGAGGAGGTGCAGATCGGACTGGAGTGCCCTTCATGGTCGCCACGATCTGCTGAGCAAGCTACCTGCCTGGACGACATGGGTGTACTACCATTCTACAAACCTGGATCCTCGACGACAATCTGGCTACGAAGGCGACTGCCCTCACCTGGCCAACCTCGATCACACGAGTTCCCCCTCCCAGGAGCCCCACGGCAGCGGTACGCGTAGGGACAAGGGGGAAATGTACGAACACAAGCCGTCCACAGGCCCATTTTGAGCCAGCTCTTGTTAATTACATATGGCCTCCTGGCCAGGCAAAATCTGAGACTCGACTGAACATGTGGAGGCCTGTCGTTTTGTCCTCCTGGGCCGACTTAAGACGCGTATCCCCGTGTACATTTCGAGCACTCGGGTGCAGAATGTTCATGTACCTTCCAAGCGCTCCCCGCACACTGCCAGGCTGCGATACACCCCCCTTGGGCCCGAAACCCGCCTTGACCTTGCAAACTAAACTAGGTCGGCCTGAACATCGTAAACCTGGAAATGGTGAATGGTGGAAACGGGTCCTGGGGACCCCACTGGGTGCAGATGAGGAGAACGAGGACAAGGAGGCAGCCGAAAGCGGTTTGAAGGCCGCAGAGACCCCCTGGGGCTTTCCCGCAGACTCCTCACGGTCCTGGGGGCCTGGGGAAACGCCCTGGGATCCGAAAACAACGAAGCACTTCCTGCCCCCTTTGCGTCATGGATGCTCCAGCGCTGCGCCTGGGTCGAATACGGAGCTGCTGGCCTTGCTCATTCCGCCCGTGGCGGTGAAGGGCGGCGCGCCTGGCATGGGATTTCACGGGCGGCCCTCGCACTCGGAGGCATCGGCTAGTCGAATACAGGGCACCTGTCTCCACCTTCACAGGTAACTCCTGTTATTCCTCTTGCACCCCCCAGAACCAAGCGTATAAACGCCAACACAACCCCCCCCCAAGCGTCCAGGAATTCGCCCAGGTAAACCTCGATCCTCGATTTACGACGGTGGCGAAGAACGCTGCACAACATGCCGCAATCTGGAAGCGGCTAGGGGCCTGAACCAAATGACCTCGAGAACATCTGGCTGGGGGGATAAAGGCAGATCCGCTCAAACTCAATCCCAATACCCCGAATACCTTTCCCGAGGCCCATATGGTTCAATGTGTTGTACCTCAGATCTGTTTGCGACGCCTCTGGGCCCGAGAACTGAGAACGGCCCCCAGAGGCCGAGAAAGGCAAAACAACTTCTTCAACCTAGAACCCCTGACCTCGCCCCACCCCCTCCCTGCTCGCCGGAACTAGTGCTGGGCCACCTAAGGTCCCCAGCGGGCTTCAAGCTGCAATGCCCCTGCAGCTCGCTGTGGGAGGGCGGGCAAACCACCCAGCTCAGGGACAGACGTGCCATGTCGGCGGAACGTTCTTGTCCACAGAGGCAGGGCTGCATCGTTTTTGTTGCATCCACGATGCTGCAGCCCGACGTACACACCAAAGGCTGGCGAGATTCTTGGCGGTTCCGCACACATTCAACAGTAGAACATTGGACAGAAAAGAGGTGAGCAACGCACACCGTTCAAAGCGAAACCCACCTGAGCGGGCAAAACGTGTTTAAATCAACAGTGACCCCGACCATCTGGGTGTGGAGTCCGATAACCAACTGATTTCACACATTGATGTGCGACTTGCCCGAGGTCAACCTCGCATGCGTTGCTCAGGTTGTGCAACCGGCCCCCAGACGTCAGAAGTCTACAATTGTGGCACACGCAAAAAAAAGACCATAGCAGTCAAGCGAGACGCAACGGTGCCCGAGCTCCTGCACCTCAAAAGGTTGGACTCTGAGCACCGAACTCCACGCACCAAACGGGGGCTCGAGAGATGCGGCCGCCCTCCGCCCTCGGAGGCATGCCGAACGTTGCCAACAACGGCCAGTCCAACCCCACTGATGCACAGTCTTCGCCAGCGGGGTTTTGTCTTCAGGAGAAGGGGGGATCCTATCAACCTGTGCACACATGTCGAACCTAAACCACAAAGGTGAACATCGCGCACCTGGACGCCCCACCGCTCAAGCGACCGCGATGGAACCATGCAGGCCCTCGAGCATATCGCAGGTCGGCAGCAGGATGCAAGGATGCCGCTTCCTCGGCAGACTTGCCAGCCCAAACATGACCTTGCCGTTTGTAGCGGTCTTCGTCAAGCTCAGTTTGGCTCAAGCTCAAGTAGCTCTTACCTGTCACATCCAGACAATTACCTTCACTCTCACGCCATCTCTCTCCGCTGCGATGCCTTCTTCGAGTGCTGGTACACCAGTACAAAACCTGCTCAAAACAAAGAAACACATCACCACTTCTCCGTCTTCACCGGCGGAACCTGCTGCAAAAACAGTTTGCGTGACAAGCCCGCTGAACGAGATGGATGGTTTTACCAGCAGCGGCAGAACCTCTACGACTTCCCGATAGTGGGGCAGATGCAACAGTTCGAGTACGTCAACAGGACTTCCAGGACAGCCTCATGAAGCGTCAGGCGTCGGACTCATCACGGTTACTTTCGAAGCCAACGTGAGCAAACATTTGGAACATATTGAGAACGACATCCGTGCCGTCAAGCAGCACGGTGTTTCTCGACATGACCTGAAGAACACGGTGGGTCCACTGCGTACAGAACTCGAGCAATTGCTGGACACTGTAACCCCAGGAAGCATTTAAGAACCCCCCCGGCGATATCTTAGCACCGCATTTTTATTCGATATTCCGAGGGGCCGAAATAACCGCACGATAGGTTTAGCACCCGGACACACAACAAATTCGCGGAGGCCTGGCCCCTGGGCTACAATCGAAATTCGAAATTCAAATCTGCGTGGCTCTCATGAAAGACTCAGGATGTCCTGTTTGGAGGCCTGTTTGGAGGCCTGTTTCCTCCTCCTTCTCCTCCTCCTTTTCCTCCTCCTCCTCTCCTCCTCTTCCTCTCCTCCTCCTCCTCTCCTCCTCCTCCTCTCCTCCTCCTCGTCTCCTCCTCCTCCTCAGGAGAAGGCCCAGAGGGGAAACCCCAGGTGAATTGGGCCCTGACAGGCCTTGGGCCCCGAGGGAAGGAGGGGGGCGCGGGAGGAGGAGGAGGAGGAGGAGGAGGAGGAGGAGGAGGAGGAGGAGGAGGAGGAGGAGGAGGAGGGGGCAGGAGGAAGTTCGTGGGTGGAGGAGGAGGAGGAGGAGGAGGAGGATGAGGAGGAGGAGGAGGAGGGCTCCTGGTGCCAGGTAACGCTTCCAGGGTGCGGAAGGGTTATCGATTTGCCGGAAGGGGGGGGGGTTCTTAAATGCTTCCTGGGGTTAACTAATGATATTGCAGACTTGCAAATACGCGCTACCAATATGGAAAGCACCATCAATGAAATGAAACAACACATGATCAATTTACAAATTACTGCAAGGTCGGTCGGCGGAGGGACGCAAACGGGACATCCTAATCATGTTGGGAACGTGGCCGACGATAAAAAGAAATATCACAACTGTGGCCGGTAATTTGGATGGCTTCGCCTCTTTCGACATGGCGTCCAATTGGTTGAAACAAGATAATTAACAACTACAATCACCGGCATGGAGAAACATTTACTTTAAAGGGACATTCCGGAACGTCGCGTTCTGCGAGTTCGGCAACACCGAGAAGAGATTAACTACAAAGGCGCAGTTGCGCAGCGCCAAACGTATTCGGAATGGGAACACGGTGGGGCCACACCAGACCGTCCAGGATTAGCACGGGCAGCCCGCAACGTTTGCTTTGGGCTCAAGTACTTCCTCAAAACGACATGGGCATGGACTTCGCTATAAAAACCAGACGACCCAAGCCCCGATTAATTTGAAATTGGCGGGGAGCTTGCCGTAACACTTATACTATGCGGGGGCGCGGGGGCAATATCAATGCAAATTGGGCCAACGATTGGGGCGCATGGCAGGAATTGCACTCGCACCCCAAGTTCAAACAGCTCGCCCAGACATGTGAGGGCATAGTGCAAAGAAGCACTCAAGGCATGAAGGGAGAAGCGAAATGCTCTTCCAAAAAAGCCGGAAAGTAAGAAACACGGCCAGCACTGGAAAACCGTTCCACTACACATTGTTCTGCCTCCAGAGCTGGAACCTCGGCAGAAACGCAATGCACTAATTCTGGGGCAGAAAATATTCCGGGCAAAACTACCGTAGCATCTATCAGTGGTCCGCTTCGTGTGCGCCAACCTGGACTATCAGAACATCGTGCTACAGAATTGGACAAAACCACCATACCTGAAGTACGTTTTTCCTCAACTACTCCCTCTTCGAAATCTCTTTCACAATTATCCCGCACCATGTTCTTCTTTGCCTCTCCGGAGCTGTGTCGCGAGGCAAATTGTGGGTAGTAACAATGCGAGACCTACCAGCAGCCCGCGACCTTTCGCATCAAAACGTAGCAGTTCCCCACTCCTGCAGCAATCGATCGGGACCTGGAACGTGGAAGATTTGGGAAAAAGACATGGCAACATTACCAGAGCTACAACATCATATGGCGAAACACAATATTGCAATTTTGTGCATGCAAGAAATGGGACATACGAAACATACTGAAAACATTGATTCCGACGACATGCTTATTCTACTCGGGACATCCAAGCCATATGGAGAGGGCCGGCTTTACTCTGGAGTGGGATTCTTGATAGCGCCGTGGGCCATCAAGTCCATCATCGGCTACTCATTGTTTTCAGACAGGCTTGCAACCCTGAAGCTCAAGATCCGCGGCGGCATACTCAATAAAATTTCGGCTTGCGCGCCGCATGGAGGTCGCGATTACGAAGACAGGCGCGCATTTTTCGACACCCTCACGAAGGCCTGGCTGGTGCCTAAAAAGCACACCACCACTACCGCATGCGGCGACTACAACGCGAGATTATACGACCGGGAACCTGGGGACGAAGACATCATAAGCGAATTCTTCTTTCACAGCAAAGGGTCACGACAAATAACATCCTTAAATAAGGACTTGTTGTTGGAGACCTGCCAGGCGACATCTACCTTTGGAAAAGCTTGTTGCATATCATGGGATGGGGCGGACAGGACAAGTCCGATTGGAGAAGGCGTTGCTCGAACTGACTGCTGCCTGGCTGACCGCGGCACGATTGGGCAGATGACAAACAGATGGGCAGCTCGTACAATCATTTTGGCTTCGAGACATTTTCTAATACGTATGCTTTTGGATAGCAGATTTGATTCTACATGCGCGAAGCAACGCAGAAACAAATGCCGCTTGAACACGCTGGTGGTGGACGACAACGCTGCGGGAGACTTCTGCCGCCGCTTCGTCGATGCAACGGTGGTGCCAACTACTCCCAATACCTTAGATTCGCATGCCAAGCACATCACCGACGCAGAGGAATATGCTGCAGAAGCAATCAAGGAACGTGGGAGGGGACCCAACCGACAATAATGGATCTCTCAAGCTACGCTGGATATGTTGAATGAGTGGGATGGTAGCCAATCAAAAGGAAACTTGTCGGACGAGCGCAAATGCACAAGACTTATCAAGACATCTGTGAGGAGAGATAAAAAGAAACGGTTGGATTCCCAACTGGTTGGTGGAAATGGGCAGCTGCACGGGCCGTCGGGGAAGGAACCCCTGAGAAGCCAATACAAGTTCGCAACAAACATGGGCAACTGGCGGAGAGCACACAACGCGCTGATACATTGGCGGGTTACTTCGAAAAAGGTCAAATGAAATTACGCATGCCGATCTTCTACAGAGTGGGGGACCGAACATTGGAGACGCATTGGGCAGGCACACGGGGGCATTCGATATGG